TTGAGACCACCAGATCCAGAAAGATCCCAGATGCTCTGCATGCTGAGATCCTCCATTCCTGAGAGGGGATCTTAGGGATCAACTGCTCTCTGTCCGGCAGAGTCTCAACTGTTTTCCTCTTCCATGGATCCTCCTGGATTCCCCATCTCTTCTCCCTGCTTTATTATATACCGTATATAGTTCTTTCTTCATTTCCTGATAAAAACCTCCTTTGCAGAAAGGGTTCAGCAGAACAGCTGTCTGGGATTTCAGTTTGGGATTGTTTTTATTTTGGTGTGTACTTCACACCAACATAAAATAAATAAATAAATAAATAAATAAAGTAAATAAAAAAATGAAAAGTGTAAAAAAATTTCAACTGTATTTTTTTCTTTCTTTCCTCAACCAGAGAAATAAAATAGCACTTTTCAGGCTTAATTTTCCACTCTACAATGGGGGGCGGGGAAGCTGGTCTTGGGAGGGGCAGATCGGCCACCCCCGAACTCCAGGCCCGGTTTCTCTCTGGCAAGGTTGCGCCCTCTCTGGCCAAGTAGGGCGGAGGAGAAACAGCGCCCAGCTCCGCGGAGAGAGCAGGAGAGGCCAAGAGCAGCAGCGGTGGGGGTGGGGGGGGCAAAGTTGGAGGCTCTTGGACGGGTGTGTGTGTGTGGAAAGCGGGAGAGAAGGGAATCTCCTCTTGTGGGGAAGGTCTCAACCTCCCCCCTTTCCTTGCCTGCGTCCAGGTGAGGCTCCAAGAGCCGTTGCATTGCCTGGAGCTTTTCATCAGCTGCAGATTTCCACTCTCTCAATTCTCCCCCCTCCCCCCAGGATCTGAAAGGACCCCCCAACTTTCTCCCCCCCCTTAATCCCTTCCCTGGTCTGTGTTCTGCCCAGCACTCCGAGGGCGATGGTCCTTCTGCTGGCAGCTGCCTACGGAGGAGCCCCTGGAGAGGCAGCCGAGGCCAATCTGTCCCCCCCCCAGGACTGCAAAGCCCCCTTTCTGCCTTGGCCTTTATCCACGGCCATTGTGCTGAGGCCCCTGAGCTCATCCCCCACTTCTGTTCCTTGGGAAGTTGTGTGTGTGGGGGAAATGATGAAACAGCTGGGCCCTTCTTCCCTCCCCCAATTCTAGGCAGCCACATCTGGGGAAGGGGAGGTTCCGCCTGACTTAGAGGAGAGAGGACTACAAACGGAGCTGCACCAGTGTTGGCAAACACATCTGGGTCCCCCTTCTCGGAGGAAGGTGGACTTGTTGCCAAGCATGAATCAGGAGCAGGCATTAATTCACATCTGGAGGCCATCAGATTTGGGCAGGCTGTTCTAATTCATTATCAGCAAGTAACAGAGACTTAACAGCAATGAATGAACAGGCCCCTGAACAGCAATTAAAGGTTAGTTCTATCCTATTTTTTTAGATGTGATCACTGCAACCTCAAAGTGATGGTGCATTTCTTTAAGACACAAGAATTGTTCCTTTATCTGAGGAAAGTATTCACTACATGGGGAACAGTCAACTCTATCATATGTCTTTTTAGTCCCCTTCTTGGTAAATTGAATTGCATCAAATCAAATCAAATCAAGAGATCAGAACAAATAAAAACACTCAAGGAATATCTAGTTAAAAATCCTAGAATGAAATAATAAACAGATAAACTCTATATTAAAATCACAATTTGGCATCCAATGTCAGTTATACATGGCCTAAGGATATTACAATATCACTCCTTAAACTGTGAGGCCATAGTCATTAAACGCAAAGGAGGAGTAATGCAAAAGGGTTTGCTACCTTAGTTGTGTGAAATAGCTATGATGGATTATTCCGTGTTTCCCATGAATCCCCAGTGCTGCTGCAGAGAATATAGCCGCCTTTGCTGTAACCACAGTCTGTTCCTCCTTAAGCAGCCACTGGAGCTGAGCAGCCTCAGAATGGCCAGGATGCCTATTGGTTATTGGTTTAAAATATCTCCATCGAAAGAGCATCATGTCCAACTGTCTGTCCAGGAGAGGGTGGAGGATTGGGGGAGGGAGGGAGGGAGGGAGGGAGGGAGGGGGGGGGGGGGGGGACTTGCTACCTCGTGTGCCAGGTGAGTCTGGCCAGAGCCGGATCTGGGAGCCAGAACTGAGCACTGAATAGGCTGAGCAGTCGGGGGCCGAAGAGCCCGCAGGAGAAGAGGAGAGAGGAGAGCAGCCAGAAGCTGGAGGGGAGCCCAGGGGTCCCCAGGAGAGGCCGAGGGGGAGCAGAGACCCCCAGAGGCCACAAGGCTGAGGGAGCAGGGGGGCAGAATGGGAGGACAGGGCTGGGTGGAAGGTCTTGGAGGCAGGGAGAAGTTCCTGCTGCTCCAGAGCCTCTCAGGGAATCTGTCACAGCCTTGTGCAGATACAGGAATTTCTCTTCTCACAAGGAGGAAGAGTTTTTTTTTTTTTAATCATCCCTTCCAATTTAACACACTGCCTTTTTTGCAGCCTTTGGAGGCACCATTGGGGGCATCGGACCCCATCCCAGCCCTGGGACACAGCAGGTTTCACTGTTTCTTTGGGAAAGATTCCTTCCCCAATCAGAGACTGCTGGAGCCCCATCATCAGCCAAATTCTCCCTCAGTTCCTGGATACCTCCAGACAATGCTCAGCTGGAACCACATCAACCACTTCCCTCCCTGCCTGGGATCAGCTGAATTCCTCCATTCAGACAATAGGAAAAAGGGAGTTTGCACAGAACCTCAGGATCAGTCTCCATTCTTCCACACAGACGGTCCCACTCACTCCACAAAGCCAAATTCTCCCTCAGTTCCTGGATACCTCCAGACATCGCTCGGCTGAGCTCACAGCAGGGCCAGGGCGGCTGAGAAATTGGGACGGAAGGGACCACAAACCTTTCCAGCCACAAGAGACACTTGGACACAGACTGTGGTATCTCACACACTCCTCAATGGTGCCTTTATGTGGCAGTGGGAAGGGTTATGGGATCAATCTCTCAACACTCACCCTATAGGGCTGCCCCATCTGTTGTCCCTGGTGGCAGATGGAAGATGGTGAATCCCACTCCTGACACCAGTTTCTGTGGAATCAAACACAGGAGCCAAAAAACCAATAATCCAGGCTCACTGCAGTTGTTATTTATTCAGTGTCCACTGGAGGAATTCTCCCCAGAAAATAGTGAGAGGAAATCTTACAGACAAAAGGATGCACTCATATTTATACATTCCAGGAAAGGAGGAGAAAATGACAATCATACATATGCATATTTCATTTAATAGATGATGTGAGCATGAATATTCAGAATTAGCGAGACTCAAGTTACCTCCCCAGCCTTGTATTGTTGCTACCCTCAAGAAAGAGTTATTGTGTAAACAAAAAGAAACGTCTCAGTTGCCACAGCAGTTTGGGTGAAATGTACTGAGAAATGAGGGCATCAACATTGCTCCATACATTCCTTCTATATTTCTGTCTTGCTAACATGCTCCCATTTCTCCAAGAAATTTGCCTCCTCACAATCTTCCACACACCCTTTATTTATTTCAAGAAAAATAGTTGGCCCACTCATGCATGGAGAGAGCTTGGACCATTTTCTATGTTTGGACTGTGGAAAATGTTAAAAGTTGAAATTCCTCAGTCTCACATTTACACATTTTTTCTGGCTGTAAGCTGGTCCTTTGTGAACAATTCAAAAATTTCCAAATTTGAAACATATACAATGATTTTCTTTGACTCCTGCATACTATCTAAATGGAAAGAATATATCCTTTCAAATAAAAGAAAATCTAATAATTCTTCCAATATCACAATGGTGTTATATCTCATGTTTTTACATTTGTTCTGGCTGTGAGCTGCTCCTTTGTGTTGAGGTCTGGCCTCAGAAGGATAATGTAGCACTTGGGGATGAAGATGCAGCCCAGCAGACCAGCACTGGAGGCCAGGATGGAGAAGACCTGCACAGCCACCATGGATTTCCCTTTGGTGCTCAGGTAGGTGGGCACAAAAGTCACCCAGACACTGCAGAAGACCAGCATGCTGAAGGTGATCAGCTTGGCTTCGTTGAAGGCCCCAGGCAGGTTCCTGGCCAGGAAAGCCACCGTGAAGCAGATGGCAGCCAGGAAGCCCATGTAGCTGAGGGTGACGTAGAACATGACAACGGCCCCTTCGTTGCATTGCAGGATGATCTCTCCAGGCTGGGAGTGGAGGTCAGAGTCAGGGAAGGGGGCAGAAACTCCCATCCAGGTGGAGCAGATGATAATTTGGACTGCAGAACAAGAGAGGATGATGGAGTTGGCCAAGCTCTTCCCCAACCATCTCTTCACTCGGTTTCCTGGTTTTGTGGCCAGGAAGGCCAGCACCACCGTGATGGTTTTGGCCAAGAGAGAAGAAATGGCAACTGAGAAGATGATGCTGAAGACTGTCTGTCGGAGAAGGCAGGTGGCTTTCCTTGGTTGACCAATGAAGAGAGAAGGAGACAAGAAGCAAAGCAGGAGGGAGACCAGGAGGATGTAGGAGAGGTCCCGGTTGTTGGCTTTGACAAGGGGAGTTTCTCTGTATTTAATGAAGATGATTAAAACAAGGCCTGTGGTTAGGAAGAAGAGAAGGGCAAAAGAGACCAGGATGATACCCAGAAGTTCTTCATAAGACAGGAAAGTTATAACCTTGGGAATACATTGGACACTGTTCTTATTTGGATATTTATCATCTGGACACTTGGTGCATTTTTCTGTATCTGAGAAAGCAAGAAAGCAATATTTCTTTAATATTCTGTTTTTTTACATTTCAAGAAATAACTTTTTTGGACAAAGCCCGATTCCAGGAATACTTTCCAAGATGTGTTGTTTAACAATTCCACAGGGAAAAAAAATGATAATAAAATTTTCTAATACTTTTATAGCCAAGGAATATGAAATCAGAGGATTTCTAGTGCATTTTGAATAAACAAAAAAAACTTTAGTTGAACTTTAAGGCATGTTTAATTTGCACTTTCATCAAAATGCTCTGGATAAATCCATTTCCACCAGGCCTTCCTTTCCCCTGGTGTCACCCACCTTTTTGAGTGGAGAAGGTCCCCTCCGGACAAGGAACACAATCATAGCAGCAAACTGGCTCTCCTTCTCGAGCCCTCTTGACAAATCCAGGATGGCAACTTTCCACACATTTGGACTGAGGCAGGGACTGAGCAGAAAAAACAAGGAATGCCAAAGAAAATGTGTTAGGACTCTCCGTCCATAGAAAATGGGAGGAGAAATGGACATTAGCCAAGTAGCCTCTATGCTTCACTGAGGTAAATAGGAAATCTCTGACTCCTTCCAAACAGGTGTAGGAGATGTGACCCTGGAAGGTTCTTCCTTTAGTTCCTCCCTTTTGCTTCTGGCACAACACGTTGGAATAATAAAGGACTTTTCTATTTAATAAATTCTGGAAGGATGGAATTGAGAAAAGATTTAAGCATTGTGACAAACTTAAAGGTTCCCCCTCATGACTGTATTAAAAGGCATTCCTCCACTCTTCATCTATCTATCCATGGTGATGATGATCATATTAAATTTTTAAATACAGTCATTGTCAAATATTTATTAAATTATTTTATTTAATAAAGATTTATTTAAGTAGAGTAAAACGTTATTAAAAAGGAAACTTCTGACCAGTAGGGTCTGGAAAGGTTTCTTCTGGACTACAGAAAGCCTTGCAAAGCTGGTCCCCTTTGACACTAGTTCAAAACAGTCTCCCCGTTAAGAGACAAAGCAAAAATTCCTCATAAATTATAGCTGATGATGTTACCTAGTTGGGTAATGAAACGCCTGGAAGAAAACAAGCAAGCTCAGAGAGCATCAAGGAGCCCTCATGTCAACGCTGAGCTACCAATATTCTCCTTTCTTAAGACTGAAGGTTTCTGCATAGTTTCTAGAACTGTAGTGAGATTGAGGGGAGATCATGAGAAGGTGTCCCTGAAAAGGACTGAGTCTCCAATCTTTGGCTGCAACAGAGGGGACATGAGTGTGAGTCCTGGGTCAGAAGGAGATATTTCTAAGGTCCATCTAGTTAGCCAAGAAAAAGTCCTTTGTGTTGAAGAACTTCAATTAGGAGACTCCAACTGGCATGGAAAGACTGTCCCACATTTAATAGTAGTTGAATTTGGAGACTCCTTTTCACCCAGAGGGACTGAAGATAGCTAACACTCAAGATAAACAAGGCCATTCATTTTCAGATGAAGAACCCTCTTAATTAGCAAAGGCCAAATCTAACTAGCATTTCCTGTCACAATCTGTCTCATTACTTCTGATATCAGGAAGATCTTTTCTTTGAACTAAAGTTGTGTTTCAGGTTTCTGGGTCAAGGGATTGTCTCACTGGTCACTATCATTTTACGTGAACTGAAAGCCTGGACCTCCTTCCTAGGGGCAGAAGGTCAATTGCTCCCCCCAAAGACAGATATGGCTACCTTTGACCAGGTCTGGACTACTTAAAAACATCACAGACCATGGACCTTCCCTTTCAGGGAACCATTTCCCAATGGCCTTTCTAAAAGCAGGACAAGAGGAAGCTTCTCTCCCAATGGGACCCCCAGGAGCTCCATCCAGCCATGATCCAATTTCATCTCATTCAGTCCAAACCTCAATTCAGGGTCTCTTCAACAGAATCCCCTTCAGCTTTGCTCTTTCAGGACAAGGAACAAGCGAACCTGAGGCTCTTAACAACACAACCTCCAGCACTTGAGGGTTTCTCATCCCAGGTTGGACATGGCTGAACCAGCTACAAAGAGTCTTCAGTATTACAGCAGCTGAAGAACAGCTTGGTCTAAAGTACTGAAGGCTCCCAAGTGGTCTACAGAAAGAAAACTATAAGGTTTCTACTCCCCATGTTCAATTCCCAGTGAAGGTCATGGACCCTGGAAACTAGGCTTAGTCCACATGAAATGGGTCATAAATCTTTGGGAAAAACAGGAATCACACCATAATTTCTCCCACCTTGTTGAGCAACTTTAGCTGTGAAAGAGCATCTTGGAAGATATTAAGTCTCTGTCTTTGCAAAGCCCCCATTCGAAGTTTGATGGGATCCCCCTTGGGGAGAATCAACCAGCTCACAATTCCCAGATCTGCTGCTACATCTCCATTTTGATCCAAGTAGAGTTTCCTCTGAGAAATATTGTAAAACTGATTCTTCTGCAGGAAAGGATGGAACTAGAAGGGGAACATCCAGGAAGTTTAAAATGTGAAAGCTTTTTTAAAAATCCCATTTATCCTTTTTACATTTGAATCTTTTTTCTACAGCTGCCTAACATCAAAATATACATTTAGAAAAATAGGTGTTACTACCTTCATAAATAAAACAAAAGTTCAGCAAATTGCTCAACCATATATTGGCAAAATATATATTAACAAAAAATAATTGATGCAATTGGTAAATTATAGGGGACATTCTAGAGCAGATGATAAATGAAATGAATCATAGGAAAAAAAATATTTATAAACGTCTGGAAAACATCAGGTTGATTATGAAAAATGGTTCATTTAGTGACCATTTCAAAGTTACAACAGCACTGAAAAAAGTGCCATGGTAGTTTTTCCCAGGATCATGGCAGCATCCCCACGGTCTCCAGGTGATCAACATCTGAATTCTTGGCATCCACTTATGATGGTTACAGTGTTTTAGGGTCGCCTGATCTCCTTTTTTAAATTTGATTTATATGCCGCCCTTCTCCGAAGACTCAGGGCGGCTTACAATGTGCTCAGCAATAGCCTTCATCCTTTTGTATATTTATACAAAGTCAGCTTATTGCCCCCACAAACTGGGTCCTCATTTCACCTACCTTAGAAAGGATGGAAGGCTGAGTCAACTTGAGCCTTGGCGAGATTCGAACCCTGCAGTAATTGCAGGCAGCTGGTCTTAAGCAGCTTAATAACAGGGTGCCTTAACCCCTGTAGTACCAAGGCTCTTTTGCGACTTCTGACAAGCAAAATCAACAGGGAAGCCGGATTTAGTTAACAACCATGTTAACAACTGCGATGATTCACTTAAGAAGAAAAGGCAAGAAAGTCATAATAGGGCAAAACTTACTTAACGACTGTCTTGCTTAGCAACAGAAATGCTGAGCTCAACTGTGGTCGTAAATCCCATTCTGCCTCTTCCAATAACTGGAAGAAGTTGCCCAGAAACTCCAGATCTCCTCCATGTTGTTCCAGAGGGAGGAGGGGAAATGGGGAAATGAGCTCAGTCAGAAGGGAGGAGATTCTGGCTGAAGGAGAGGAAAAAGACCCTGAAAAGAGGAGCCATTTCAGAGCTGAGCCCTCAAAGCAGAGAAGTTCAGCCTCCCCTTCACTGAGGAGGCAAAGACTGAGCAGCCGTCAGTCAGAGAAGCTTTGACTGGGACTCCTGCAGAGAGGAGGGGTTGGGCTAGATGGTCTCAGGGTGCCCTTCAGAGTTATAAAGGTAAAATTTGACTATGCTAATCACAAACCCATAAAGAGATGAGTGTATTTAAAAATGCATGCATCCTTTTAAAATTAACTGTGTTTAGAACCAAAATCTATCTGTCGTGGGGCCTGGTGCTTAGAAGATGATGTCTCCAGCAATTAGATTGGCCCAACTGTTTTTTTTATTATTATTATTTCTATACTGCCCTATTCCCGAAGGACTCAGGGCGGTAAACAGCCAACAATAAAATACATACATACAAAATTTAAAAAGCAGAAATAAAATTGAATTAAATAGTTTGGCCCAGCAGATTAAAACCCCAATCAATTTAAAACAAATTTAAACTTGGAGGATTAAAAATATTAAAAATATTAAAAGATTAAAATTGTTTAGAAAGAGGGAGAAAGTTAGGCCAGGCCCGCCTGGTGAAATAAAAAGGTCTTTAGAGCGCGGCGGAAGGTACGCAGATCCGGGATCCTCCGTATCTCGGGGGGAGCTCGTTCCAGATAGTAGGTGCCCCCACAGAGAAGGCTCTCCCCCTGGGGGCCATCAGTCAGCATTATTTGGTCAACGGCACCCGGAGGAGCCCCTCTCTATGGGAGCGTACCGGCCGGTGGGAGGCTATTGGTGGTAGTAGGCGGTCCCACAAGTACCCAGGTCCTGAGCCATGGAGCACTTTAAAGGTGGTAACCAAAACCTTGAAGCGCACCCGGAAGACCACCAGGAGCCAGTACAGCTCGCGCAGGAGGGGTGTTACATGGGAACGCCATGTCGCTCCCAATACCACGCTCGCGGCTGCACTCTGCGCCAGTTGGAGCCTCCAGGTTGTCCTCAAGGGGAGCCCCATGTAGAGAGTGTTACAATAGTCCAGGAGGGAGGTGACGAGGGCATGAGTGACTGTGCGTAAGGAGTCCCGATCCAGAAAGGGATGCAACTGGCGGATCAGGCGAACCTGATGAAAAATCCTCCCGGTCACGGCCGTCAAGTGCTCTTCTAAAGACAGCCGTGAATCCAAGAGGATGCCCAAGTTGCGCGCCCTCTCCGTGGGGGCCAATGATTCGCCCCCAATAGTCAATGATGGCACCAACTGACTATATCGAGACGTCGGAAACCACAGCCACTCGGTCTTGGATGGGTTGAGCCTGAGCCTGTTCCTCCCCATCCAGATCCGCACGGCCTCCAGGCACCAGGACATCACTTCAAGGGCATCGTTGGGGTGATGTACAGCTGGGTGTCATCAGCATACTGGTGGTACTTCACCCCGAAACCACAGATGATCTCACCCAGCGGCTTCACATAAATGTTGAACAGGAGGGGCGAGAGGACCAACCCTTGCAGCACCCCACATATGAGGGGCCTCAGGGTTGATCTCTGCCCCCCTGTCAACACAGACTGCGACCGGTCAGAGAGAAAGGAGGAGAACCACTGCAACACAGTGCCTCCCACTCCTAACTCTTCCAACCAGTGCAGCATGATACCATGGTCGATGGTATCAAAAGCTGCTGAGAGATCTAACAGGACCAGGACAGAGGAGCACCCCCTGTCCCGAGCCCTCCAGAGATCATCTACCAACGCGACCAATGCCGTTTCCATGCTGTACCCGGGCCTGAAGCCCGACTGGAATGGATCTAGATACGTCGTTTCATCCAGGTCCTGGGGGAGCTGTTGCGCTACCACACTCTCAACAACCTTCGCCACGAAGCGAAGGTTGGAGACCGGACAATAGTTTACCAACATTGCCGGGTCTAGGGAAGGCTTCTTGAGGAGAGGCCTCACCACCGCCTCTTTCAAGGTGGTGGGAAAGTCACCCTCACCCAACGAAGCATTTATAATCTCCTGGAGCCAGCCTTGTGTCACTTTCCGGGAAGCCAGTACTAACCAGGAAGGACATGGGTCCAATAAACAAGTTGTCGCATTCAGTCTGCCCAGAATCCTGTCCACATCCTCAGGGGTCACAGGATCAAACTCATCCCAGATAACATTCTCAAGACCTGCCCCAGTCTCTCCCCCTGAGACTACCCAGTCGGAGTCCAAATCTTCCCGAATCTGAGTGATTTTGTCATACAGATACTGGACAAAATCCTCAGCTCTACCCTCCAAGGGGTCCTCCCGCACTTCCTGGTGGAGCAGGGAGTGGGTCACCCTAACGAGGGCGGCCGGGCGGTTATCTGATGATGCAAAAAGAGCAGCAAAATAGCTACATTTCACTGCTTTTATCACCACTAGGTAATTCCTAATATGGGATCTTACTAGTGTCCGGTCAGATTCAGAAAGACTGGCCTTCCAACTACTCTCTAGGTGTCTTTTCCGGCGCTTCAACTCCCTCAGCTCCTCGGTAAACCAAGGAGCCAATTGAGATTGGCGCTGGGTCAGAGGCCGCAAAGGCACGACCCGATCCAGAGCTCCAGCAGCTGCCCTATCCCAGGCGGCCACTAGGTCTCCAGTCGAGGCGCGTGCCAGAGCCTCAGGAAATGGCCCAAGCTCCATCTGGAATCTGTCAGGTTCCATCAGGTGCCTGGGGCGGAACCATCTTACCGGCACCTCCCTGTGGCGGGGTGAAGCGGTTTGAAGGTCGAGACGAAGGAGAGAGTGATCTGACCATGACAAGGGTTCGGTAACTATATCCCCTATCTCAAGATCCCTCAACCACTGTCCAGAGACAAAAAACAGATCCAGCGTGTTTTCCCCTGTGTGGGTAAGGCCATCAATTAACTGGGTCAGGTCCATAGCTGTCATGGAAGCCATGAACTCCCGAGCCACCTCAGACGTCTCACCCATGGACGGCAGGTTGAAATCCCCCATGACCATAAGCCTAGGGGTATCAACCGCCACTGCGGCGATGATGTTGAGTAGCTCGGGCAGGGCTGTTGCCATGTGGCAGGGAGCCAGGTACGTGATCAGCCAGGTACTGTTGATCTTCTGAAGCCCAATGTGGTTGTGAAGGTTCCCCTCCATCTCCTTTGGGTTCCTTCTCTGAAGGACCTAAGATTGATGGATCCATATTGTTAGAAATAGGAAAGCAGCAATAAAGCAAGGAAGGCAATTTGGTACCCAAAAGGAGCAAAAGTTTATCAAAGCATCTGCAATTAGCACAGCCCGCCCCCCACAAGGCTGTGTGCTCTCCCCACTTCTCTTCTCTCCATATACCAATGACTGCATCTCTGACGATCCATCTGTTAAACTACTGAAGTTCACAGATGACGCAACAGTGATCGGCCTCATTCAAGACAATGATGAATCCGCATACAGATGGGAGGTTGAACAAGTAGCCTCATGGTGTGACCGGAACAATCTGGAACTGAACACACTCAAAACTGTAGAAATGGTGGTAGACTTTAGGAGAAACCCTCCCATACTTCCACCTCTCACAATACTAGACAACACAGAATCCACAGTAGAGACCTTCAAATTTCTAGGTTCTACCATATCGCAAGATCTAAAATGGACACCCAACATCAAAAAGTCATCAAAAAAAGCTCAACAAAGAATGTTCTTTCTGTGCCAACTCAGAAAGCTCAAACTGCCCAAGGAGCTGCTGATCCAGTTCTACAGAGGAATGATTGAGTCTGTCATCTGCACCTCCATAACTGTCTGGTTTGGCCCTGCAACCCAACAAGACAGACACAGACTTCAGACGATACTAGTAATTAGAACTGCAGAAAAAACAATGGCTACCAACCTGCCTTCCATGGAGGACCTGTATCCTGCAGTAGTCAAAAAGAGCGCTGGGAAAATATTTACAGACCCCTCACATCCTGGACATAAACCGTTTCAACTCCTACCCTCAAAACGACGCTATAGAGCACTGCACACCAGAACAACTAGACACAAAGACAGTTTTTTGCCCAACGCCATCACTCTGCTAAACAAATAATTCCCTCAACCCCGCCAACTATTTACTAAGTCTGCACTACTATTAATCTCATCATTCCACCACCCATCTTCTCCCACTTATGACTGTATGACTATAACTTTGTTGCTGGTATCCTTATGATTTATATTGATATTGATTGTTTCCTGATTGCTTATTTGTACCCTATAGAATAGAATTTTTTATTGGCCAAGTGTGATTGGACACACAAGGAATTTGTCTTGGTGCATACGCTCTCAGTGTTCATAAAAGGAAAAGATACATTCACCAAGAATCATAAGGTACAACACTTAATTATAGTCATAGGGTTATAATTATAGTCATTAAGTGTTGTATCTTATGATTCTTGATGAAGGTATCTTTTCTTTTATGTACACTGAGAGCCTATGCACCAAAGACAAATTCCTTGTGTGTCCAATCACACTTGGCCAATAAAAAATTCTATTCTATTCAAATCCACCAGGTGGACCCGGATCAAAGCATGCAAGAGGTTTTATGCCCTTCCTCCCGTCACTCAACACTGTCCTGCTTCCCCATTGGCTGAAGGACTAGCAAGCTCTTGGCCTATCTGGAGCTCCTGTTCAACTCCTGGCCTTATTTTCCCCAGCAACCCCCTGTCTCCATGGCCTGCTGTGATTCTGCATCAGTAACTTTCCTTTGTTCTTTTGCGTAAATCGGTTATATTTTGAAATGTTTCCATTAAGCTCTTGCTCAGAAAAGCCCCCCCTTTTCTATCTAGACTTTTCTGAACCACTTTGCTCACTCTAAGAACAATACCATTTTAACTAGTTTTTCAAAAATTCCTTAATATTCTAGTTCCTTATTTTCTTTATTTATTACGCAGAAGTGGAAGCTGTAATGAAACATTATTTTAGAAGCAATTCTTCATATCCCACAATATCAGGACCCCCATACCTGCCACGGCTGCAGCCTTGGAGCCCCCAACCTCCCTTCGCCCTCCTTCCTTCCCCTCCTCCATCTGGAGGAATAGGCAGAGTTCAAGGCCTGGGCCAGAGTCTGAATGAGACTGTACAAAAGGTAATAATTTGGGATCTTTCTTCTGTTCTTTTTCTCCTGGGTCTCCAGTGGGGCTTTCTGGGTGCATCTTCTGCGGCCTTTGACAGAAAAGACGTTCTTTGAAAGAGAACAGAGAAAATAATGATCTTGAAACTTTTCTTCCACAAAGAAATGGGGTTCAAAGGCATCATCCATTGGCCTTTCTTTTAACAGATAACCAAACTTCCAAAAACTATGGATGTATTTGGAAAGTCTGTTCTTTCTCAATGTTAATCCTCCCAAAGTTGTACAGATCCAGACTTTCCCTTCAATGGATCCTGGCAGACGCATAAGTGTTAAATGGAAAGGAAGAATTCTGACCCTAATGGGAATACTTTCCATGAAGTGAACAAAGACGTTGACTTGTCTCCACTTAGAGAGGGAATCCTGAGGTATGCTGTATATCCTGTTGTTGAGAACAGTTGTGATATAACCACACAAATTCCACTCCTGACAAGCATAGGAGGAAAAATCCTCATGAAATTCTCTCCATTTTCTGTGTCTGAAGCAAAGACGCCAATCAGGGTCCATCTGAAATGGAGGAGCAGGGGGACAATTGCTGGGTAGTGGAATCCTTCTTTGGGGAACATCCGGTGGAAAAAGGAAAATTTCCTTTTATCACTCAGAGCCCCTGAAACAAGGTTATTACTGATCTGAAAAAGCAATGAAGAAATTTGTGTTATATTGGGGGTCAGATAAAGTCCAAAACTTTATTTTTTAATAAATTCAACTTGGTTTTGATGAACAAAATAAATATGTTTTTTTTTGAATAGCAATTATGCAAACAGAATATTAAGCACAGTGTTAACAACACTGTATATAAAAACGGAGCACAAGAAACAAATTAAATAAAAA